CCTTTAGGTACAACGCTACAGGCCGATGAGGCCGCTTGGACCACAACATACCTGCACGAACGTCAGAGAAAGCCCGATTCGCTGCAGCGTTCATCGCAAAATGGTCAATGACTGTGTTGCCAGCACCACCACGGCACGTAACTGCCTTTGATGAGCGAATGGCCGTGCCACTCAGGGTAGGGAAATTTGAAGCATCCAGCTCACCTGGCGGGAAATTCCAATCACCTGCAATGATAACTGGCCTGTCCAAGCTATTCGCAATCGCACCAACTCTTGCAAGCAACTGTGCATTTTCCCGCACCCCCTACCCTTGTGAACAAATGCAGATTGAATGTGTGCAGTTCAACTGGCCAGCTCGCTAGATCCACAACCACATGCTGAATGCGATGCCCCCATACTTGCATCGCGCCAACAGCTGGAGGTCGCAGCCCATGTCCGTCACGAACGAATGCTGCTACACCTGCTTCTGGTAGCACTCCAGCAGCGGGGTGGCTTACCAGAGCCATCATTCGCCATCATCGTCCGTGTGCCCATGAAGTCAGGGCCTCGATCTGATCTGACAGGTGCCCGATCTCCTGGGCCAAGAGGATATCAGCTGTAGTGACTTGCAATCGACTCTTGAGTGTGTGCTTGCCACCACTCGCGTTGAAGGTCTCTATCGTGCGCACCACTTCTTGAGCAATAGCATCTGCTCCGCAGGCCGCGCATGACCTCTCTCAGCCAAGCCGCAAACTCTGATCGCAATTCCATGTGTTCTGGCCGTGCTGCTCTTGGGGGGGGGGGGGGGGGGGGGGGGGACCGAAGACGCTTCCGACCCCCGCTGTCAGGACAATGGCACCACCCGCAAAATGGGCCTTCGGTCTGCCCCCCCCCCCCCCCCCCCCCCCCCCCTCCCCCCCCCCCCCCCCCCCCCCCCACCATCCACGCACACACACCCACACAATAAAAACGATACCACCACGCCAACAAACACACAACACACACACACACAACCACACGCACACACACACACAACACACGCACGCACACGCACACAGCACATACGCATTCACAGCCACGAATACGCACAAATATCCACACACAACACCAACCACGCACACACAGCCCACAGCACACACACACACACACACACACACACACACACACGGCCACGCACGCTGCTACACACAACACACAAACACACACACACACACGCAAATGAAAACCTCGCCTCGGTGTAACATCCCGTCGGCAGCAATATCGTCCATCATCGCAACTCCAGGGCTGTAACAGAACTGCTCATAGGGGGGGGGGGGGGCCGCGACGCTCCGACGTTCAGACACCGGGCCCACCCGCATGGGCGCAGTCGTATGCCCCCCCCCCCCCCCCCCCCCAGATGGCATGACATCCTCGCCGTCGGTGCAACTCCCCACGTCGACAAGGCAATCGTTCAGCCGCGCAACTCCAGAGGTTGTCGCCGCACTGCTCTTGGGGGGGACGCGACGCTCCGACGCTTTAAGGACACTGGGCACACCCGCATGGGGCTTCGCCCACCCCCCCCCCCCCCCCCCCCCCCCCCCCATATGGCACTAAATCCTCGCCGTCAGTCTAGCCGCCCACGTCGGCAAGGCAATCGTCCATCATCATGCTGCCCCTGCCGCTGCTTCTTCCGCTGCTGCTCCTCGGCGCTAGAGAATGCCTGCAGGAAAGCTTCAACATTGCCTTCTGCTTGCTGGAACAAGGCTCGCTTCTCGCCCTCAGACAGCTTGAGTCCTGGCTCCTCGTCAGCATGCACCCCAGCATCGCCACCGCCGTCGCGAGCAGCAGGGTCAGCCCCATCAGCAGCAGGAAGTTTGGCAAATGCCTTCTGAAGATGCTCCCGTAGCTTGGCCCACGTATCTGACTTGATGAAGTCTCGCACCGCAGGTTCAAGCTGGTCTTCCTCAAACCCGAGCTTGACACCAACATCAGCTGGGCACGCCGCAAGCCGCGGCGGTGCCAGCGCTTCAGCACTTCTCGTGAACTCCTCATTGAGTGCCTCCACCTCCAGCCGCTTAGCCTCGAGGGCCTCTCGCCTCGCTGCCAGAGACGCTTGCATCGCCTCGAGCTGGCGCTGCTTCTCGCCCAGCTCCTCCTGCATCTTGCGGTGCTGGTTCTTGGCCTTCTCCAGAGCCTGCTGCGCACGCGGGTGTACCGTTTGTGGCGGTAGCATAGCCGTGCGTGCATTCTTCGCCTCATCCAAGTTCTGCTGCATGGTCTTCCGCAGCTCAGCCAGCGATGGATCGTCACCGAGCGAGGCCAAGCTCTTGTGCAGCTTGTCGATCCTGTCAGCCATCTGCGTGAAAGTCCTGGAACTATGCTCACGCTCAGCCGACTGTCCTTCACCATCCGTCTCCATGGCATCAGGCCCACGCTCCTCGGATGAAGTGCGTGAAGGGGCGGACGCAGGCCACTGGCGCGGCCCTCCTCCGCTCGTACCTCCGCCAAGCCGCGGCCAGACTGAGTCCTTCTCAATCGCTGCCATGAGCTTGTCAACCTTGGCGGACAGCTGCGCAACTGCAGAGGCTTCACTTCCTTTGTCCTTGCCCTTGCTCTTGCTGCCACGCCCATCTCCCTTGCCTTTGACTGCTGCAGCGTGGGCGATGCGTGCTGCCTTGACAACTCGCTGTGGCGCCGCCTTCCCGCACGCACACTGCACTCTACTGGCCCAGTTGGCCGCCCGCCCGCATGAGCACGCCCACACAGGCTTGCGGGGGCCAAGGAGGACCGTCGCATCCTTCTCCATGCCGCCGTCGCGGGCGGCCTGCACTGGGCAGGCGGTCCTGACCTGCCTGGGCTGACAGGCCGCACTCGTGAAAGTCTGCCGCGGACTAGCGGTATCCGTTTGGTCCCCTGGGGAACAAAGCATCTTGAGCCAAAAATGGCTACGGAGAAGGAGGAGGAGGAGAAGGAGGGGGAGGAGGAGGAGGAGGAGGAGGAGGAGGAGGAGGAGGAGGAGGAGGAGGAGGAGGAGGAGCGAGGAGGAGCGAGGAGAAAGGAGGGAGGGGGGCGCAAGGAGGGCGGCGGAGCGAGTAGCGAGGAGGAGTAGGAGGAGGAGAAGGAGAAGCGAGGAGGAGGAGGAGGAGGAGGAGGAGAGGAGGAGGAGGTAGGAGAGGAGGAGAGGAGGGGGGGGGAGGAGGAGGAAGAGGAGGCGGAGGACGAGGAGGAGGAGGACAGGAGGAGGAGGAGAGGGAGGAGGAGAAGGACGAGGAGCGAGGAGATGGAGGAGGAGGAGGAGAGGAGGGAGAGGAGGGAGAGGAGGGCGCAAGGAGGGCGGCGGGGGAGGAGGCGAAGGAGGAGGAGAGGAGAGGAGGAGGAGGGGGAGGAGGGGGAGGAGGTAGAAGAAGGGGAGACGGAGAGGAGGTAGAAGGTGGAGGTGGAGGGAGGAGGAGGAGGAGGAAGAGGAGGAGGAGTGGAGGAGGAGGAAGGCGGAGGAAGGCGTAGAGGAGGAGGAGGAGGAGAGGAGGAGGAGGAGAGGATGGAGTGGGAGGGAGAGCAGGGAGGAGGGCGCAAGGAGGGCGGCGGGAGGAGGAGGAGGAGGAAGAGGAGGAGGGAGGAGAAGGGAGGAGGGCGCAAGGAGGGCGGCGGAAGAAGAAGAAGGAGGAGGAGGAGGAGAAGGAGGGAGGGCGCAGGGAGGGCGGCGGAAGAAGGAGGAGGAGGAGGACGAGGAGGAGGGAGGAGGGAGGAGGGAGGAGGCCATGATGGAGGAGATCAAAGACAGGAGGGGGGCGTGAGGGAGGGGGGGGCGTAGCAGGGGAGGGACAGACAGGGGAGACGGGGGGCCAAGGGGAGGGGGAGGCGAGCGCCCCCGCACCCACCGCCACGCCCCGCCCCCCTCGTCGAAGACCAGCACCTCCGGAGGCGTGCTCCGCAGGACTGCAAGCCCACGGACTGCCGAAGACATCGAGCAACTCCGAACGCAGCCCCACGAGCCCCTCTGGCATCCGCTCCGCGGAAAAACAGCTGAGAAGCAAAAAGACGTCGAACAACTCTGGAGACAGGCCCGCGAACCCCCTGACGCCGATATGCCACCCGGCGTCCCCGACCACCTTCCCCGGACCAATACTGATACTGAATATCCTCATCATCCTGCTCCACCCCTCCCCTCTCCAATGTTGTGAGACAGGCTCCTGAGCTCAGTAGTAGGGAAGACCAGGAGAGAGGAGAATAGAGGAATAAACATGAGCGACAGAGGAGGAGGAGGATGGGAGAGGAGGAAGTGAGGATGGGGGGGAAATAATGTGGGAGTCCAGGATGAGGAAGCAACCAAGGAACACACGAGACCGCCCCGACAAACCTATGAGAGATCCCGAAAACTTTCCAAGACCGCTGACGCCTAAGATGGCCGCACGATTCTCCCAAGATGGCCCTAAGACCCACAGCACGCTCCCGAGAGGCCCAACGAAGCCCCTAACATGTCGCCCAACAAGTTCTTGGGAAACCCCCAGCCTCCGATGTGACATGCCAAGGCCATCTGGGCATGAAACTCTCATGTGTCACGTGCTGCTGCCTCCTCTCAACTGGGGAAGCGGGATGTTCCGTGTCACGATCCCCCGGGGCCAAGAACGGAGACCTGACACGTAGCACGCCTCCCCGAGCCCTGGCGAAGACAGCTATCATATGTCACGGCCTTCCCGAGATCTCTCACGAGCCAGCGCCGTCCATCCGATTCGAAGGCCGCCACATCGGGGGCTGGGCTGGCGCGGGCGAGGAACTGCCCGCACACAGTTGGATTAGTATACGCAGGGACCGAATAATGCTGCTAGCTGAAGTGGCTTCGGTAGCGATCGCCAGACTACTACGATGTTTTGGAAAACCCGATGAGATATCCAGGGGCTCTGGCGAGAACCAACCTACAAGCACAGTCTCCCATGAAAACGACAACGCTCTATCAACGCCCAATTCACATCAACGAAAGTTGTCGGCATTCCCCTCTTCAGCACCCCATCCGCGTGCACTGGCAAGACGAATTCCCCTGACGCCTGCCCCGCATATCCATGCGCCATGGCAGGACGAAACCTAACACTACGTGCGCCGCAGGAGCGGCTTGAGCCGATAGGGGGTAAGACAGCTCTCCTTGCAGCGGCGGCTCTACCTATTATAAAGGAAAGCTGTCGTCGTATCGACATGAACGCACACATAATGTTACATCCGAAGGTTTGCCCCTGCATGCTGCACCCCCTTCCTGTGTTGTTGCTGCTGTCGCTGCCGTTGCGGCTGTTCATGCTGTTGCAACTGCAGCTGCTGCATCAACCGAGGCCCTGCGAATTTGCGAAACGACATGTGCTGGACTCCGCCCAGCAATGTGATGCCCTGTTTCCGACACGATTGGGTAGTCAACCGATGCGGCAATTCAATCGGCCACACACGTCAGGATGCAGGCGAGCAGCCCTCACAGGTGCTTTGCTGGATCGACGCTGGGCAGAAAAGCTGGAATGAGTGCGCGCGGCGCAGGCGAACCCAACGCAAGCAATTGAGTGAGCAAGCGGCAAACAACGGGCTGAACAACTTCGACACCGAGACGGAAAACTCCAGCCTGGATAGCTACACACCCACAAGTTCGCGTGCTCACTTTCTACATTTGCTCATCTCTCTCGTTCTCTCTCTCTCTCTCTCTCTTTCTCTCCCTCTCTCTCTCACACTCACTCACTCACTCTTGCATGCGTACTATCATGGCTGTCTTAATGATGATGGTGACGACCCCAGTATGGTGTTGATAGCGATGACGTTGGCGACGGGATATGACATGAGTTTCAGAAGTCATGTCAGCACTGGCCGGGTCACAGAAGCTAGAGCCCTGATGGGGCGCGAAAGATGTACATATCGTCCTGCTCGCCCCATGTGCAGTGGTAGCCAAGACCGCTACCTGCTGAATCTGTGGATTGACCTGCAACAGGGCGGCCCGAGGGGCCGAGGGTTCCGCACTTGTGGGATGGCGGGGATATGGCTGGCTCAGGTACATCCAGCGGCGGAGGCTCAGACCTGCGGACCAGCAAGTGCAAGCCCTCGGGCGCGTCGCAGGCGGGAGCAGCATCGGTGATCTGCAGATCAACAGACAGCACAAGGGCAACTCAACAGTGCATTGCACGTTTGCGCAGCAGCTAACTGAGCCAGGACAGAGAACACAAACGATGACAATGGAAAGAGGCCGAGAGCCGGGGCTCACGAACAGCCAGTGCTGGAGCACAAAGATTTCCCGGGCATCCCACGTATTGGGGGTGCCCACATGCAGCGAATTATGAGCATTCTACTTCTATTCCAGACCTTTACCACTTCGTTTCGATTCACTTCGCTCCTGCCTGCGCATAAGGATCAGGACAGCACCGATAACACCCGTGGTATATACACAGCAATGCGCATTGCACGAGAAGCCCGGCGATGACGGTGGCAATTGCTAACTATACACAGATGTCATAGCAAGGCGTGCTGGAGTTTCGACAAGAATCTCTTCACACTGGCCCCTTCTCTGAGGAAGACAACTATCGCGTTAGGAGGGGGTGGAAAGATAGAGGGTACGACTGCGTAGCTAGACACCTTCGACATACGCGGTGATAGGGATGATCTGATTATGTCGCCCAACCCCATCTTCCAATCCCGGCTGTCGTTCTGGTGCTCATGCCCCAATACTCACCGGTCACCATCCGTCTGCGGTTTATCACTTGCCTTCTGCGGTGCCGCCGAGCTCTCTTAACTGCTGGGAAGACAGTTCGGCCGTTCTCCCCAACCCGAGCCAGATTTAAAAAAATGGTACGCGAGCGTGACCAGCGCATAGGGAGGGTGCCTAGCCACCGAGCGGTCCGAGCTTGAGCCAAAAGGGCTACGGATTACGTTTGAGATCTATGTGTGTTGCGGAGGTGGGCTGATGGGTGTGGTTCTGATTGCCACCGAAAAAGGCAGCAGAGATGTGCAGGTGCGGGCGGCGTGTATTATCGCTGGTTAAGGCCAGAGGCACTGGGTCAACATGCTCCGTCTTCAGTGGTGGTACCACTTAACACAAAGGTTGCACTGGTCAAAGCACCGCCACTTGAAGCAACAAGCGTGCTTATGCACATGCTCGTTGATGCGTTTCACAGAGGATCGCCTAAATGTTGCAAATCACACTGAAACGCCACCAAGCCCCAGGCCCCCAACCCGCCCTCCGCCCGCCGTCGGGCCCCAACGGGCACACTACCCGGGCCGCCACGACATTGCGGCCCCACCCAGCCAGGGCCCGCTGTCCCGCTGCACCCCCGCCCCGCCCCTCGCTGAACAAGAAAAAACAAAGAAGCGATAAACGCGGAGACCTCTGCTCGCCCCGAAACTTACACAGCCGGGATAACGGTTGCAACGAAATCCACAAGACGACCATCTGAAATCATATGCCAACGACAACGCCGACAGGAGGATCATCAAGTGATATTCGCCTCTCAATGTTGTCATCGCGCGCAGGAATGCACCAAAGGCAGGTGATCGACATGGTTTCTGCTGGCTTGCGCGCAACACTGAGAGGCGGATACAACTTCATGCCCGGGTGTTGTTCCTACTTGGTCCTTCGCTGGGCCGCAGGCATTGGTGATTGCATGTCAAGTCTTACGAGTTGAGCCCCAAGGAGACGCCTGCCGTGCACCGCGCACTGAGCCCTTCATGGTGGTTCGTAACATTGATCGGCGGATGGCACTTCATGCGAAGGGCCCCGACCACAGTGTTTCAACAACGCTTCCGCTTCCATCCCCGTGCCATCTTTGTTGCAAACGGTTTTCACGCGGATGTAGAACACGTGTCACATATTTCCGCGTGATCCACGTGGGCGGGAATCCCTCACCCCGATGGCACGACATGCTCAGAACCGTTGCTGATACATATATATATATATATGTATATATGTATATATACATATATACATATATATATATATATATATATATATATCGACACGTGTATATGCATATCTGAACATAGACATACATGTATATGTAGTACGCGAGGTGTTGCATGATACGACGCGCTCAAAAGCACGCCGCCAGTAACGCTGCACGTCCTGCCTGGCGAGACCCGCACGACTCCAAGGCAGACAACCAGCGGCCTTCTACATGGACAACCCTGGTCTCGGACTTGGTGCACAGACTCTCCTGGCACAGACCAGGAAGCCCTGTATACACCAACCCTGGGAACACGGCCACCGCGCGACACGCTAAGCAGACGTCCGTGACCGAATCATTTCCTTGGTCCACGCCCAGGGCGCGTGGGAGCCGTCACGTAGGCGCCGGCCTCCTGCCAAGTGGGCTGCTCTGTCGCGGCGCCCCCTGCTCATGGTCAAGGCCGCAACTCGCACGCTCTTCTCCCGCCGCGGATATTGGTCGACAGGCCCCCGCGAAACGACATGTGGCCAAATCAACTACGCAGTGCTGTGTTAATGGCAGAACAACTGCGCAAACACACCATGTCGGAGGTCCACGATGGTTTCTCGGGTCGGCACTGGGCCCCCCCCACCCCGCCCTGGCGCGTAAAGCGCGCGGCGCCCGAGGCCCCGCCAGGGAGAGAGGTGGGAGCAAACAGGAGGCAATCGCGCGATGCCTGCGCGGCAGGGGGGGAGGGGGGGGGGGGCGGGCTCCCTCCGTCCTTGACGCCAGGCTTGGAGCCGAGCGCCAGCAGGTCTCTCCAGCTCGGGGCGTTCCCCGCCTGGCTGGGGGGGGGAGGGGGGGCCTCCTCCTGGTCCTCCTGGTCCTCCTCCTCCTCCTCCTCCTCCTCCTCCTCGGCCCTCCCTCCTCAACCCCTCCCTCCCCCATCCTCCTTTCATCCTGAACTGCACTGCAGATACCCATCGAGTCTACGCAGATCCTCACGACCTAACCCTAGGGCTCGGGCACGCCTTCAACAGGCAGCCTGGAACATTCTACTGAGCATCGCCACGCGCAACAATGCGCGGACGGGCCGCGGTGGGAACGCCCCATGCACGCAATAGGCAACAACCCACCGCCCCCATCACGACCGCCTGGCACCCCCAGGTGGCCTCAGCAAGGGGAGGGTCCTCCAAAGGTCCTCCCTTCTCCTCCTCCTCATCATCATCCTCCCCTCCTCCTTCTCCTCCTCCTCCCCCTCCTTATCCGTGTATGTTCCCTGTTAGCTATTAATCAGAGTGAGGGGGCCGAACGGTCATTCACTGTCCCTGGGTGCGTGGCTGAAGTGGGATTCCGCGGTGCGGATTCGTGTTGTTGTTGTTGTTTGTTGTTGTTGTTGTGTGTTGTCGTCGTCCCACCCGCCACCCGCCCCGCGACCCACCGGCGACCCACCCCGCGACCCACCCGCGACCCACCCGCGACCCACCCGCGACCCACCCGCGACCCATCCCGCGACCCACCCCGCGACCCATCCCGCGACCCACCCCGCGACCCACCCGCGACCCACCCGCGACCCACCCGCGACCCACCCCACGACCCACCCCGCGACCCACCGGCGACCCACCCGCGACCCACCCGCGACCCACCCCGCGACTCACCCGCGACCACCCGCGACCCACCCGCGACCCACCCGCGACCCACCCGCGACCCACCCGCGACCCACCCCGCGACCCACCCGCGACCCACCCGCGACCCAAACCACGTTCAAGGTGCAAACCAACATTTTCGGCGCCTGCGGCGGGCTTTTTTTGCATTCCTTCCAGGTGGAGAGCCCGCGACCCACCCCGCGACCCACCCCGCGACCAACCCGCGACCCAAACCACGTTCAGGGTACAAACCACATTTTCGGCGCCTGCGGCGGGCATCTTTTGCATTCCTTCTAGGTGGAGAGACCGCAGCCCACCCGCGACCACGTTCAGGGTACAAACCAAATTTTTCGGCGCCTGCGGCGGGCATCTTGTGCATTCGTTCCTGGTGGAGAACCCGCGGCCCACCAGCGACCCAAACCACGTTCAGTGTACAAACCAAATTTTTCGGCGCCTGCGGCGGGCTGCTTTTGCAGGAGGACGAGGAGGAGGAGGAGGAAGAGGAGGAGGAGGAGGAGGAGGAGGAGGGGGAGGAAGGGGACG